AATATTAAAACTAATTTATTTAATGAAGTAAAGAATGGTCCAAATGGAAAATAAGGTGTTGGCATGCGTCTTGCTTCCTTAGCGGGATTGACTTCACTTTTATGACTTTCGGTGTTGGTTGGGGTGAAATGAAGTTGTGATTTTTAAAAAAACAATTCCAAAAAAGAGAAGAAAAATTAGATTTTTGAAACGAAAAGTTATAATTTTATTCTAAACTCTTTTTTTTTTAAAAAAAAAAAAAAAAAAAGTAAAACGTGGTGGCAAGTGAGCCCTCAAAACATGGCTAACAGTCAAAGCAAAAACCCAATAAAGGCAAAGGCAAATGGAATCAAATAAAGGATAAGAAAGAAATGGGCTGAAAAAATAAGGCCATTACTATACTTACATTATTAATTTGAACTAGCTTTTTCCCCATCTTCATTTTTAATGTTCGTGATCATCATTCCTAACAGATATATTTATATATATATATATATCACCTCGAGAGTCTAGAAGATACATCCCTGCATTAGTTTGATTAAATTATAATAAGGGTTCAATCGTTTTTGTTTCAATAATAATTTTTCATACTTAAAATTAAAGGCAAAAGCATGCTTTTTTGCTTAGTGGGAACCCTTCACATGGAATTTTCAAATAATCCGATTTCTATTTATTTTTGGTGAATTATTATTGACACTCTGTTCATTAAATTATTTAAATTGTTCATAAAAAATCAGTTGGGTTGAGAAATTTAATATTAAAATTTTTATAGTCGATTACTGGCCCCATGGACCTTAAAACTAGTTTTGCGTCGACCATAGTCCATACATATTGAGCTGGATATCCGAATGATTCGGGTTCCGGGTCATGGGTTCTGTTTAGACGAGCTAAAATGATGTGGAGCGGTATGTGTTCGTGTTCAAACTCTGGAGGCGATCAACAAATGCTTCAAGATTGTTGTCTGAGTACAAATTTTTTCTCAAGGGCAAACGCTAAGCCTGAAGCTTGTTGCTATTTGTTGGCTTCAAGATATTGTCGAGGACTCTTTTCTTTACTTATTGTTTCCTTCTATGGCGGTTGGTATATCCTCCTGCTGAAATACGCTAGCATTGTACAGGTGGGTTTCTTTGTTAAGGTACGAGGTTAATGGAGGACATGAGTTTCAATTTCTAAGTTGATTGGGATTGGTAGTTAGTTTACGGACCATGGATTTTTGAGATTTTGGGCATTACTCTGTTGCTTTTTGCCTGTCTGGACGCTAAGGCTAGCACAGAGGGTGTTTGATGGAACGTGTCTGAGAAAAGTTGGATTCGTTTCGAAAGAGGATGAATTTTTAGGATTAAGGTTTACTCAGATAATTTTTTTATAAGATTTTGTGGGAAAATTTGTATCGTGAAGTTTGCAACAAAATGTTTTCTTAACTTTTCATTGGTTTTACGTGATCAAATTTTTTCATTTCTGCTTGCTAGCTTCTAGATGCTTATTGGGGTGGCAAAGATAAAAAACTGGAACTTTTAATTGGTTAGCTTCTTTTGTTGTGTAATTACACTGAGTCGAGGCTTATTGGGATGAGTAACTGGAGTGGTTTGTGTCTCATCATTCTGATGTAGATTTGCTTTGAATGTGGAATTGGACTAGTTTTGCTATATTTTTTTTGTATTAATGTATTTGTTTATAAGAAGAAAACGTTTAAGCTAATTTGTCCAGAGTGCTTGCTCTTTTCTCAACTCCTTTTTATTTGTTCTCAGTTAATATCAGTTTCATGACGGAGTATTAGATTTCTAAGAGATACCAACTTTCTAGAGGTTCTTCCGCAGTAATTATGAAGAATATAATGGATATACTTTAATTGCTTGAAGATTTTGAATCACAGATGGTAATTCACTTGTGATGGAGTTATGAAGACCCCTTTCATCTTTTCCTCCACTTGGAGGAAAGCTTCTGCATCAACAAACAAGGGTTCTCAATATCTCTTATGATGGATTTCATTCAAGATTATGGAGAAGAGTGCCATCTCCTCCCTTGGCTGTTCTTTTCAGCTCTTGTCCCAACGTTGTTTTGCTCCAAAGTCTTTTCAGGTCTCCTTATTTAGAAGACTAAGCCAAAGACTTCATTATGCAAGGTCAGCCAATGCTAGACCTTTTCCTGATTACTCCCCCAAGAAACCCACCATAAAAGACTCTGAATTTGTCCATCAAATCTCCAATGCAATAAAGTTACGTCGCTTTGAGCCCCTCCGTCGCATCCTAAAGCCTTATGAATCCAAGTTCAGGCCTGATCACTTTATTTGGATTCTCATGAACATTAAGACTGACTATAGACTGGTTTTGAATTTCTTTGATTGGGCATGCATCCGCAGAGAACCAACACTAGAAGCCCGTTGCATTGTTATTCAAATTGCCACAGCTTCAAAGGATTTAAAAATGACGCATAAGCTTATTCGTGATTATTGGGAAAAACCAAATTTGGATATTAATCATTGCTTCCCTTATTTTCTGGAGCGGTTAATTTATACATATAAGGACTGGGGTTCAAATCCTCATGTATTTGATATTTTCTTCCAAGTCCTCATTGGAGCTGGAATGTTCGGTGAGGCAAGAAAGGTTTTTGACAAAATGTTGAACTATGGATTAGTCATCTCTGCTAATTCCTGCAATTTTTATCTCAGCCGATTATCGAACAATTTCAATGGAGTTGGGATGGCAATTCGGGTTTTTAACGAATTTCCTGATGTAGGTGTCTGCTGGAACACAGAATCATACAACATTATTATTCATTCTCTTTGTCAATTGGGGAAAGTAAAAGAAGCCCACCATTTAGTCCTGCTAATGGAGTTCAGGGGCATTGTTCCTGATGTTATAAGTTATAGTACCATAATTGATGGATATTCTCATGTTGGAGAGCTACAAACAGTGTTGAAGCTTATAGAAGAGATGGAAATAAAAGGATTGAAACCAAATTCATATACCTACAACAGCATAATTCTTCTTCTCTGCAGAACAGGTAGACTCTTGGAAGCAGAGAAGTTCTTTAGGGAGATGATAAATTGGAAAATTTTTCCTGATAATGTGGTTTATACAACTTTGATTGACGGGTTCTGTAAGAAAGGAAATACAGGAGTTGCGTATATGTTGTTTGATGAAATGCATGGTTTAGGAATCATTCCTGATGTGTTAACATATACAGCCATGATTTGTGGCTTGTGCCAAACAGGAAAGATGGCAGAAGCAGATAAACTCTTTCATGAAATGCTTAGTCGAGGGTTTGAACCAGATGAAGTTACATATACTGCAATTATTGATGGCTATGGCAAGGCAGGTGAAGTCAAAAAGGCCTTTTTGGTCCACAACCAAATGGTTCAGATGCACTGTACACCAAATGTTGTCACATATACTGCTCTGGTTGATGGCCTTTGTAGACTTGGGGAGGTAGATACAGCAAATGAGCTTCTTCATGAGATGTGTGGGAAGGGCCTTCAACCAAATATCTGTACCTACAACGCAATTGTTAATGGCTTATGTAAAGTGGGAAATATTGCACAAGCTCAAAAGCTGATGGAGGATATGGAGGTGACAGGACTTCATCCTGATACTGTTACTTATACCACTCTAATGGATGCTTACTGTAAGGCAGGGCAGATGGTTAATGCACATGAGCTTTTGCGAGAGATGCTGGATAGAGGGCTTAAACCTACTGTTGTCACGTTCAATGTCCTGATGAATGGGTTTTGTATGTCTGAAATGCTAGAAGTTGGTGAGAGACTACTAAATTGGATGTTGGAGAAGGGTATAATGCCAAATGCAACTACATACAATTCTCTTCTGAAACAATACTGCATTAAACGTGACATGCGAGCAACTACAAGTATTTATAGAGGCATGTGTTCTCGAGGAGTGATGCCTGATGGAAACACTTACAATATTTTAATAAAAGGGCATTGTAAAGCTAGGAATATGAGAGAGGCATGGTTTTTGCACAAAGAAATGGTTGGAAATGGATTTGATCTCTCTGCTAGTTCCTACAATGCCCTCATCAAGGGATTTGTTAAGAGGAAGAAATTTTTGGAGGCAAGAGAACTTTTTGAAGAGATGAGAAGGAAAGGATTAGTTGCAAATAAAGAAATATACAATTATTTTAATTATATAAATTTTGAAGAAGGGAGCACAGAGTCCATTCTGGATCCTTGTGATGAAATTATAGAGAAGTGCCTTGTGGGTGAGGCTGACAATGAAAACTAATAGCTGGCAGCCAGAGTTTCAGTTTTGATTCGCATACACCTGCAGGAAAGTCTCTTTTCAGAATCGGTTATAATCTTCTAAGCATCATGGTAAATTTTTTCCTCCTGGTCTCTGCTGCCTTTAGTAGTCTCCACTAAGTTGTCACACATGGTAACAGTTTGAATCTCATCGGTTTCTCTTTTCTTCACGATAGTTCATCCTTTTAAAATATATTTTTTTTAGTATTTGTTCATCTTTTTAATTACTTTGTTGCATTAAGCGAATATTGGACTTCACTGAGGAATAGTCTATGGTACAGCAAAGTTAAACACGGGTTTAAAAAGCCTAAGTTAAGCATGGGTCATATTAACCAACCTCGACCATAAGCATGCAAGCACATTAACGTGCAAGGATGCACATGAACGGGAACAAACCACCAGTTTACACTTAATGCATGAAATGCATGAACACAATAGCTGTGGTTTGGGAAAAGTGAATTGAAGAAGTTTTAAGCATGTCGGTGACTCCTAGTGCTAGTGATAATGAACACTTTCTTAATATTTTGATAGCCAGACTATTTACACGAATACATTATTTTTTTGGTGAACAGTTGATATGTGCACTGGGCGTCTGAAATTTATGATGACGACATGATGGATCAAGTGCTCTGATATGCATTTTCAGCATGCATGTGTCGACTATGTCAATATAGCTGTCTATGAGTTCCCTATATGAAGGTACTGACGATGGATGAAGTACTCTGAAATGCATTTTCAGTATGCGTGTGTCGACTATCTCAATGTGGCTGTCTATGAGGAGTTCCCTATATGAAGGTACTGAACACCGTTCCTATAGACAAATAATTCAGCTTTTTTCTGAGCTAAAAGATGAACTTGGATTGATGCAGTGGGCTTGGTCATCAGAGTTGAATTTCTGTCATCTTAGGTTGGAGTTTTGACCCAAAACAGATGAAGCACAGTTATGGAAACCCTACGAAAATCAACCCCAATGGAGAGAGGAAGCTGGTTCTTGGGCATTATTTTTATCGAACTGACTAGAAATCACTTGTGCATGAAGACAAGTTGACCGGTCACCACATGAAATGGGAATTTGACATAAATAGAAGGTGGTGGCTGTCAGCAATCTCAAGTTATTATATGTCAGAATTTCTGATTTCAAAACATCCTGGTAACCCAGAAGTTTTGTAAACTCGGAGTAAAGTTTTAACACAGTTCTTTCATTGGCATACATATCTCCTGTCCATTTTTTGAGGAATTCTTCCCGGTCTGACAGTATAGATTTGCTAGTGGAGCTGATGAATGTATACAATAATAGCACATGAATACACAGTGCTAATTGTGAATAAAAATTCTGTATATGATGAGAAGATGACCTTGTATCAAATATATGTTTCATTTCAAGACCTTTCCGTTCACTCAAAGTTCTTTCAGGGATGTAAGCTTTTTAATCACCTGCGTCTGAACTTATCTATGGAGTAGGAGTTTTTCTTTTGTTGGTCTGAGGTCGTGAGTTTTATATTTTTAATGGTATCAAAACGATATTATGTTGAATTTATTTGTTAAGAATTATTTTATTTAAGCGAGAACCCTCGCAACGAAGGCACCAGTGGTCTAGTGGTAGAATAGTACCCTGCCACGGTACAGACCCGGGTTCGATTCCCGGCTGGTGCAAAATTTATCTATTTTATTTTTGAGTGACTTCCAAATGAAATGCCTTTTTTTTTTTAAATAAAAAAATTCTTATTATACTTTAGAAACTAATTATGCGGCATTGCTTTAATAAATAAATAAATATTTCATAATTTAGGCACTTTCCCGAAGGTTGATAATCAAGTGGCCCAAGTCCATCAATAGACGTAGCCCAAATCCACCCGCAGATAACTTAATACCCTACCCCTCGAATCGTTCTCCTCCATATAAATTCCCCCTCATTTCTTTCTTTACCTCTAGGGTTTTCGCTCCGTCTGTCTGCTGCTCATTCCAAACCCTAGTAGCCGATCGACCCACCTCAAGCGAAAATGGTAAATCTTTCTCTCTCAACCTCTCTATTACGGTACCTCTAGATGCTGTGTTTGTGAATACACTCATTATGCAAATAAATCAAAACTGTATTTTGATACTTTTTTATGCTTTAACATTTGAAAACATAAACAGCCGTCACACAAGACATTCATGATTAAGAAGAAGCTGGCCAAGAAGATGAGGCAGAATAGGCCCATCCCTCACTGGATCCGCATGCGTACTGACAACACCATCAGGTCCTTTCTATTTCTTTTTACTCTTTGATCTCTTGTTTTTCCTTTTGGCTTAAAATAAATCTATAAATCCCGTTTTTTGATCTGTTTCAGGTACAACGCGAAGCGCACGCACTGGCGTCGCACCAAGCTCGGGTTTTGAGAGGTGTTTACTTCTCATTATGCCCTCCGTGTGCTTTTAAGCTTTTATTATTTTTCAAGTGGTTTTTTGAGGTTTAGTTGTTATGGAAATTCTACATTATGATGATTTATGCTTTTGTATTTAACTAGAGGACCATTCTGTAAGGAACTCTACGGAATCATAACTTTCATGTTTCGCATTTTTGAGTAATTTGAAATTTGGTTCTACATCTGGGGTTTTAATTTTTATTTTTTTACTTGATGATGATTGTTTTCCGTAGATTAGACTTTTATTTTGGCTGCTTATGTGTTTCTTAGTCATCCAGTATTATCTTGTTCATTTTTTATCAATGGAGTCACTCCCAAAAGTACCCTACTCAGCCTTTTTTACATCAGTTTTGTGAGTTAATTTTGTTTGTTTTTTTGCATTCAAGTGATCAATTTTATATCACATTGTTTGCTGCATCACCTTCATAGGCCTTCAACTTTAGTTGCTGCGAGTAACTCAGTATATAAGTATCAAGTTTATTTCGGTGATTTTTTTACTAGGTCATTTGCATCTACTTTGTACCCGTTGTAGCAATCTGCTTATCGCCCTAAGCTGATTTAAATAGTGAAGGCTTTAATCATTCAATGTCTCATTATGTTCGAGTATTCAGAAATCAGAAAACATATTAGCCTTTGATTTGCTGAATTCGTTATTTTTATGTTACTACTCCTTATCCTTTTGATAACCATACTGGGAGACTACTTGTTAGTACAATTTGATATATGTATGATTAAAAGTTTTCATGTAGGATGGAGTCCTATCTATTAGCTTTTGCTATTGCAAAGGTGGTTAGTTTATTCTGCCTTCACGAAAAGCATTTGTGGGTAGGCTCTTCATGTTGGAGGTGATTTTGGTTGTAGTTTTGGCCATGTGTTTCCTATTTGACATGGCATAGATGATTGTTGCTGGTAATGTCTTACAAAGTTATAGCATTTTATGTTAAAAGGGAAATTCATATGATACTGGGGAATGCTTTTGTTTCTTTTTTTGGTTCTTTCTTTTTAGTACGAAAACATTAGGTCCTGTACTCGGTGCATAACTCTCACCACTAAATTAATGACATTTTATGGTAATTGACTATGAAATGTTACCATATAATGTTATCAAATTACTGTAGTATGTTGATGTTTTCCTTTAGTCATAGTGCTACCACAGGCTTCACAGTGGAAGCCAGGAATGGCAGGCATGACATTTTATGAGTAGTTCTTGGAAAGTTACTGTTGTCTTTGTTCTTATGTATGTTTATTCATGAAAGTAAATGTCTATTTAGTGTTTGTAGAGATTCAATTATAATTAAAAATAAGTTTTTTGAGAATATTGAAATTTTATTTTAATTTATTATTACATCTTCAAAAATGTTTCTTATATGTTATTTTTATTCCATACGATTACTAGATTTGTTTTTTTTTTTCTCAATTTTAATTTATCATGAAATGAAATTAGCAAACATTAATTTTTGTCATTATCAAATAAATAATAGCTTTTAAAGATTTCAATTAATGAACTTCGAACTTATTTTCTTAATTATGTTAAAATTTTAACTTTAATTATTTTATGTGGAGGCTACGTCGCTCTTCTTTTAATCATGTTCATCAGCAAATCAATTGAAACCTATCAATATCATATGTAAATCTTCAGTTAAATAATCTTTAGATTGTCTTAGTTTGAAGTGAAGAAAACAAAAGAAAACACCACTTGTAAATTCTAATTTCACCCATATGGAAATTTCCTATAAAGTTATATATATATATATATATACACGTGTATATACATAAACGTACTTTCAAAACATTCACATCACAGAAGGTGCAATTCTTTGTTGGTTGAGACGAACCGACCTTGCTGCAAAGAGCAATTGAAGTATAGGATGTCCAACTACAGCATTACATATGCATATATGTACTTTTTATCTTAAACTTACAAGTGAAATAAAACTAGAGTTTTATTTGAATAACATTTTATTTATTTCACAGAAGAGCTTAAATTTCATAAACTGAAAAAAAAGGAAAAAGCAAACAACCCTTTAGTAACTTAATTACTAGATTTGTGTGTAATCATGTGTAATATCCGAAATTAATTTTAAAATATTTAAAATTAACACATAAAATATAATTTTTAAATTTAAGAATTTTTATTTAATATAAAAATTAAAAAAGAATAAGTGTATGATGAAATTAAAAATAATTTTAAAAAAAATTGGTTAAAATTTGGGTTCTGAATGTATTTTTGAAAGAAAAATTAAAAACTATGGGGTTAAAATATAATTTATGAAAAATATGTCACGTAGAATCGCCTAATCAGCAGTCCCGATGAACCGGAGCGTGTCGCGTGGCAAGACACGCTGATGCGGTGCCACGCAGGAGCCACGCTGGCAATCCGCGTGCCTGCGATCGGACGATCTGGATTTGTTCCCGCGCGTGTGGACGGTCCGAATCCGTTTCCTCCTCAGGCACGATCAGACGATCGCGATTAAACGCGATGATCAGCCCAAATTTGTTCTCTCTTTAAATGCGATCGTACGGTCCAGATCAAATCACGATGAATGGTTCAGATTCATTTCCTATTTAAACGCGGTCGGACGGTTTGGATCAAACACGGTGAACGGGGCAGATTAAAAGAAAACGGATATAAATACCTCACTATACATCAAACCCTAACCCTATTTGTTAACCCCCATCCCGAAGAAGAAGAACCAGTCGCTGGGAAGGGAGTCGATCACCGCCCACCACCGTGCCAGAGTCACCTCTGACCGCAAAAAAAAAGTCTTCCAGTTGCTCGAAATTTGATTTTAAACACCTTCATGGCCAAATCGAAGCAAAAAGACAGGCAGATAAGCCGAAAATCCGGGGTAAAGCCTAGCAGTGCCGCCACATAAAAAATAAAAAATCTCATCCGATGAGTTCCTTTATGATTCCCGTTTCGTGCAAAATTTTTACCATTGTATTCACCATTTTATTTCCTACAGGTTGACCGAAGAAAAACGCTCAACTGTGAAGGTAAACTGTGAAGGTAAACCAGCGGAGCCGCCGTACCAAAAAACTCTGTCGCTAGTAAGATTATCTTTTTTTACTTTTTTCGGCCAACTAATGCCGCTTAACATGTTTTCTCGCATCGATGAGTATAAAACTGATCGAAATCGATTGAAACTGGCCGAAAACGGCTAGCTCGAGGCAAACTGCCGCTGCTGCCAGATGTGCCGTCGTCGGAGTACGGTGGCGCTGCCGTGCCGGAATCCAAAAATTGGCCAAAAAGGGTTTATAATATCGATTTTAGTTTTTTGGAGTATTTCTAAGTATTTTAAGCGTGTTTTAATCTCCGAAGAAAAACTCAGGAATCCAGGGACTGCCAATAAGCGCAGCTGAAAGTTTAGCATTTCGGACACCGATTCGAGTATAATTCCTCACCCTATTCCTTATTATGGAATTGAACTTTAATTATAAATAATGTGATATTTTGTACAATTTAGAAAATCTCGATAATTAATCACAAATTACTAATGGAGTTAGAATTAGTTATTTATCATTGTTTATTTTGTTTTAATTGATTGATTTATTTTACAATTTTAAATGCACGATAATACGCTAAAGTTGGTAAGATGATTCAATTATATTTCTTTGATGCATGTATTACTGGTTTTACGTAATTTACAGTTAAATTGTAAAACTGAAAATTAAATGTAAACAGAGAATTATTTGGTTAAGTGAATGAATGAATGATAACCTTATTGGATATCTTGAGAGATGGTGGACGGACTTGGTACATAGAAAATCCTACCGTGAACGTTGTCTCATAACGGACGGGGTATCGATGATTGTTATTTTGACGCTCATACCGGACAGGGTATGCGGACGATCCGTTTCACTCTCATATCGAACAAAATATTGAGGAATGATATTTTTGGTGCTCATACCGGACGGGGTATGAAAACAGCCGGTTAGTTAACAATGTTAAATAAGAGTTTATGCGTATTGAAAACATACTTATGAATCTCCATAGATAAGAGTAGTCATGTTAAAAGAAAAAGTTTTTATTTTGATTAATTGAATATGAGATTATGATATTGTTGTGTTATTGCCTTTATATGTCCGTTTTGGAAATTTTGATACAGTAAGTGTACAATAAATGATTTTATTTATGATAAATAAATTTACTTAAATTAAGAGTTCCATTAGTTGTTTTCATGATTTTTACCAACCTTTAGTTCTGTGTCGGTCGATGAGTAGTGTGACATTCTTACTAGATTAGTGTACCTCATTCTTTCATTAACCATTTCAGATCAAGAGAACCAAGATCCAAACTCTAATTCACAAAAGGGTTGCGAATATAATATTTAATTGTTTATTTTCCATTTATTTTTTTAAATTTTTCGTTATTTTTTTAGAAGGATCATTTCCATAATTTTATTAGGTATTCTAAATTATTGTGTATGAAATGTAAACTTTAATACTATTATTTTGTTTTCGCATTCAAATTTATAATTTATTTCATTTCTAATTTCTGACTACTATATTATGTTTTTATCTATTAACATAATTATTGGATATTCATAGCATTGTACTTTTTAAGTACAGCTAAATTTTGTAAAAAGTAAAAACTGTATAATTATAAATTCTCTTTTAATTTTTTTATAGAAAAGAATGTTATTTAAATTTATAAATTTTTGTAAAATAAATCTCATTAATTCTCAAAATAAAAACAGTACGTATATATATATATATATATATAAAAGCAGAGTGACAGTGCACCAAACGGGAGCAGGCCTTTGCTGCCACTTGCCCCTCTCTCACTCCTAAGTAAACACACTAAATCCAGTAATAGGCTTGAAGCTCGGAAACATTCAGATATTTTATTAATTAAATTAATAAATTTACAACCTAATCTCTTTATAAATACAAGACGGTTCAGCATTTGTCAACATATAGTTTTGGATTTATATCTTGTTTGATCCATTTTTATGTGGTGAGTATCCTTCATCTTCGCAAAAAGCTATGAAGACATGGATACCCATCTAGATTTTCCTGAATAAGACCCCAAAACTTTGTCGATACGTAGTAAAAAAGAAGACAGCTTCTTTTGTATGCATTGGAAGATTTTAGAGACCCTGAGATTGCGAAATGGAAAGAGGAGTGAAATTGGACAGGTGGGGGTATGAGGTATCTACCTCTTCTGATTCCTGTATCTCTTCGATCAATGACTACTATTATCAGGTTTTACTCTCTTTTATTCTGCCCCTCTTGATGCAAAATCTCAAGGGTTTTACTTTTCTGATTTTCTGGCCTTGTTTCGTTTTTATTGATGAAGGTACTTACTTATGGAAGGAATAGAAGCGTGATTCTCGAAGCTCCTCTTCATGATAAAGACTGTGTTTTGGCCAACATTCTGGCTGCTCATTTCCTTTGTTCCTCCGACCCTTGTAGAGCTCAGTTACATACTCAAGCCGCCAAATCTCATCACGTAAGTTTTTTTTTTTTTTTTATAATTTTCTGGGTCCTATTCTTTGTTTGTTGTTGTAATCCTTTTGAATATGGAGAGAGGTATGGGGCCTGTAGAGAGTTGTGCCTTCGTTAAATAACCTGCACTTTTTGATTTTGGTTTGGCTTTATTGAAATTCGTCGAGTAGGAGAAAGCAACCCCGTATGAGAAAGCTGTTTTTGATGCTGTCAATTATTTGATCTCTGAGGACAGAGACGATGATGTGGCTGTTGAGTTGCACTCGAAGGTAATCACGCTTTTTTAATGATTCTTCTTGTGAGAACTGCAAAGTGATTGTTATTGTCTGATGGGGGCTTCGGTGGAGCCTTCCTCTCATCTCTTCGCAATAAATCCTCCCAAAAGAGCGCTTTCAGTCTATTTTCCTCTTATGATGGTTCTGAGCCTACCACAAAATGGTTGATTGTTTCCTTTTTGTTCTCATGATTTTTCTATTATCTTTAAAAAGAGTATTCTTGGGCTAAGGTTTTGCACTTTATCTCTTAGTGATATTATGATGCCAATTGGTGTAGAATTTAGATTAATCATTATTTTACCTGTAGACAAAGATAGTGTTCCTATATTAAAGTTTTCCCTCTTTTGACTGTACCCGTTCTTGGCTATATCCCTTTAGTCCACCACTACCCAGCTAGTGAGTGATCCCAAGTAAATATAGAAGAGAGGTAACTGTGTTGCCAATGAATGAATATAACATATTACAGATGACCAGTTCATGGAATTATCCTCTTGTGCCTCTAAATAAAAATGGAAGGTAGGAGCTAATTTGCTTCCATATATAATGAAATGATTCTTGGGGTTTAAACTAGAGCATATTTATGAGAACAATTGAACATAGTAAATATAGACGTCATCGTATCAAGTGTTTATGGATAAATGGAAGGGCAAGTGTGTTCTAGAAATTCCTTCATAATATAGCTGGAAGTGGTATGAAGTTCAAAGCAGTTCTTAAGAAGCACATTTCATTGACTATGTCTTGTGACTAACTACTTGACATGGGGCCCAATCTTGATCTGAAATTTTAGGTTTAATTCTATGCAGCTATTGAGAGAGTTTCCTAAAGATTTGGGTTCTTTGAAGAGAGCCCAGGTGCTGTGCTTCTACATGGGTCGACCTGATTTTTCTCTAGCTCTTGTTCAGCAGGTTCATTTCTGTCCTTGTAATGAACTTAATCAAAGTGAGGAATGGTACTTTTTTAATTTGTCCTTTGTTACTTGGCCTTATTGTAACATTGAATAGAAACAAGTCTTACAGTCTAATGAAATCTTTTTTTTCCCCCTTGAAATGAAATATCAAATTTGACAGTATATGTTAATAACTCATTGTAACTTACCTGGGTTCCATTCAGTTGTATAATGGTTGTAAGTTTGATAGGTTCTCCCCAAAAATCAAGAAGAAAGTTACATTTACGGAATGCTTGCTTTTCCATTACTAGAGCTCGGCCGGATGGCTGATGCTGAGGAAGCTGCAAAAAAGGGGTTTCAGATCAACAAGCAAGACTACTGGGCACAGCATGCTGTGAGTTCTAATAAATTCAGTCCACTTAATACTTGTAATTATTAGATGCCAGTAGCTTCACTGTTTTTAGATATAACCTTGTGGCATCCTGTCGAAACCTTCAGCAATTCTGAGCTCATCTGACATTATCTTAAATGCATGGACAAATTATAAAGTAGCAAAACTGTGAAATGGTAGATCATGAATGCCTTAAATTTTCAATTATGTACCTGACAGGAGTATTGGCATATTTTTAGTTATTCTTCTTATTACTGTAATACCCTCCGGCCATGGTTCTTTTTCAATATCACCAGATTTTGTAATGCTTCTTTTCAATGGTTCTCATAGCAGTTGGGTTCTCATGCAGTTGTGTCATGCCCTTCAGTATGAGTGTCGTTTCAGGGAAGCAATAAATTTTATGGAAGAATGCTCGCCTTCCTGGAGTTCTTGTTCATCATTCATGTACGAATATCAATCCAACTAAGTATTCCCAGTGTAAATTTTAAATTCATAGAGCCCCATTCTTTTTTAATGAGCATTTTGCATTTTTACCGATGTATAGTTTCAACATTTAGGTACACACACAATTGGTGGCATGTTGCTCTTTGTTACATGGAAGGTCACTGCTACATAAGAAAAGTCCTCGAGGTTTATGATCATTGTATCTGGAAGGAGTTGGAAAGAAGTGATGCTGTGTGTGCAGAGGTATATTTTTGTCATCATCTCTCATGACCTGGGTTCCTTGTTACATGCCTTAACTTCATATGCATATAGGTGTACTTGAATGCTCTGGGTTTACTATTACGTGTGGATGTGCGCGGTGAACTTGGCATCTTTGAGGATCGCCTGAAGATCTTAGCAAGTAATCTGAAAAATCATGTAAGTAACACCTTATCACCTTTATTGTTATCTATATTTCAATATGATTAGACATTTTTAGAGTGAATAATCCATCTATGACTGAAATAATAGTTCCAAAGAAATCCTGATTAAAAAAAAAACAAAAAAGCTGCTCTGCAGGAATTAAACAAAAAGAAAACAAAAAAGAAGGTTAATAATAATAATGGACAGAGAGAATAGTTGAAATATTTAAATGATGGGCAGAAATTATGCCAATATGATGGGCAGGCAATGACAGAAAGAATAGTTGAAATATTCAAATGGCAAAGTAATGTAGATGTATTTTATCTATGTTCGCCATAAGTATATGCTTGGCCTTTCTTGGGGCATATTTAGATCAATGTGGGATTTTTTGTGACAATTTCATAGCAATAGACATGCTTCTTTAAGGACTATGATGCTGGAATGAGAGCATTATATATAAGTAATGCTATAATCACCACAAAAGAAACTTGCAATTAAAACTCAGGTTACAAAGAGTTTGATTGAGAATTATGATGTTGCTTTTTATCTCTGTCATTTCATGGTTTCCTGAGGTGACAAAATAGTAATTTACATTCAGTTGTGCAGAATCGCAGAAAATGTCTGTATGCTGTTTTATTACTCTGATTCTTTGGTATTAGAAAATTACCGGATTATGCCATGTGGTACTGATAAGTGCAAGACATCACTTCTTATACTAGTAATTGAACCAGAATATGTGAAAAAATCACATAATTGAAATGAAAACACTGTCAACCATGAATTTGTGTGGAACTGTGGATTAAATTCCCTGGTTCTTTACCAATAACATGATAAGATATGCATCTTCTAGACCTGATATTTACTAGTGTATTAAATATTCAGGAAAATTGGTACATAGAGTTGCATCTTGATGTGTTGATATTATGGGCATTAGCTAAAACAGGAGAGCTTTCAAAAGCAGGGGATTTGCTTGAGGGCTTGAAGTCTCGGTTAGAAGAATCTTCTTCTCTTTGCTTTAATATTTTCAAGTGTACTCTGTCGATTTCCTTTTTAACAGAAGTTTTGATCTTTTGATTTCATGTAGACATTGTAGAATGAGCGAGAAGAAGAAGCAAATAATGCAGAAAGGAATTCTGGTTTGTTCCACTCAGTCTCCTTTTTATCATGAATTTGCTTGTCGATTTCTTAAATTCCTTGTTGCTAGTTTCTAGTATAATTCTTTTAGGTATAGTTTCTATAACTTCAAAGGTATCATTGTCAGCTTTATTGAATTCTAGCACAGCAGGCCTGAGATCATGAATATAATCGGTTCCACTTTGAACACATGTTGCTGCAATGAGAATCACCTTGTGCCTTCTCAGTTAATTCAAAATCTATTCCTCTTCCATCCAACTAGCTGAAGTGCAATTTGCAGATAGTAAAGGAATAAGAATTGAATTGAACCCAATGGGTTGCGAGACACATTATTAAAGAGGAGTTAGTAAATAAAGATAATTCTATGTATGGCTAATGAAAATTCAAAACTGGAATTTTCTTGTCATTTGATTTTTCTTAAGAATGCTGGTTATCTTCTAAAGTTGTAAAGAGTCTCGTTTCAGCTTGCAGAGGCCCTGTATGAATATGGAAGGGGTGATGATAAACGGGCTTTGGAACTTCTCGGACCAGATTTTGACGCCATTGACTGTAAGGTATTTTTAATCATGATTCGTTTCTGTCATATTCTTTAACAAACAAGATAAATTCACTCAAAAAGAGTGCCAAAAGACGGGTACCTCTCATTACATGTGTACATGTTTAAAGTCATTTACAAAACAAAAGCTTTATGAAATGCTAAACATACTGGAACTTCCAAGTTGACTATATAAAATGGAATCTTGGTATTTCTCTGTTACAGATCATCGGAGCATCTGATGAACAGGTTGATGTGTTTAATGAAGTTTGGTACTGTATGATGCTGAACACTGAACGAGCTAGCGAAGGTATGATGTATATCCAGCTCAGGTTGCAATATCCTGATTAAGATGATTACTTTCTGACTAGCTCTCTGTTGAAATTGCAGCAATCAAAGTAATAGAGACGAGGATCAAGAAAAGGGAAGGACTCCCTTTCTTGTGGCGCCTCCTGGTATACCTCTAGTTTCCGAATACATAACAGTTTGTGCTAATAAAGAGAGCCTAATCGTATAGTCTTTGCGTCTTTGGATCAGGAGCGAGGTTATTTGATGACAGGCAGCCCGGAAGCGGCTCGTGCGGGTGAAAGGGCAAGGATACTAGAAGCAGCCTACTTCTAATAAATGCTGTGAAAGCACGTGCTGGGCGCCTAGGCAGGACAAGGTTTCAATAATGTAATGGCATTGCGTGAATCTGTGTGATCAAAGTAGATTGAATAATCGTTCACCTGGGGAAGAAAGAAGACAAAATATAAAAAAAAAAAAAACATGTATGCATGTGAAGTATGTAATCCATGTGAGAATAAAGATGGGAGGCTGCAAGTTGGTTTTCTTTCATTAGCTCTGTGCATGAAGTGAGTTTTTATACATTCATAGATGAGTTTTTTATCTACTGAGTAAATTTTAATTTATCTTTTTGAACTATTATAATTTTGTTATTTAAAATTGTCCACTTTAACAGAATTAAAATGTCGAAAATCATTTATGATTACATTTACGAAGCTCTTATTAACTGGGGTCATAGGAACATCAAAATTCTCAGAAGGCTGTCTTTTCTCCTCCATTTTTTTATATCCAAAAATGAAAATCAACTGTACCATTAAAAACAAAAAAAAAAACAAAAACTGGAATCACCCAGAAGAGATCCAGGTAAGAACTTTAAAAGTAAAAAGTAAAAAAAATAAAATTACAGCTCCAACTATCTACCTACCTACCATTAACATTCTCTTTCCTCATTGGCTAATTCTGCAAACCGCACCCAGTTCAGCGGCTGACACCGGTCATTCATCAGTCAAACCCCACATAAGCACGTGGGCCAACACCCCAATTCTCACACGTCACCCACGCTTGCTTTCCCGTTTGACCCGCAACCCGCACGTGTGCCATCACGTATCCGCCGCAGCTCCTCAACCACCTCCCTCGCGTCCGGCCTGTCGTCCTTGTCAGCCGCCACGCATCTAAATGCCAGCTCTGCCACCGCGTTAACGCCTTCCATTGCCTCCGGATCAGCCGCCAAGACGGGATCCACCACCTGCCGGAGCATACCCATCTGGATCTTCGACACGGCCAGATCCGCCAGCGCCATTTCTCCCTTCTCTCTGCTCTGATCCACCGCTTTCTGCCCCGTTATAAGCTCCAGCAACACCACCCCGAAGCTGTACACGTCGCTCTTCTCCGTTAATCGGAACGACCGGTGGTATTCCGGATCTAAGTACCCAGGTGTGCCCTGAGGCCCTGTCCACACGAACCCAGTCGAGGACGACGACGTTTCTGGGACGACTAAAAGCCTGGACAGCCCGAAATCTCCCACTTTGATCCTCATGTCTTTCTCCACGAAAATGTTAGACGATGTAATGTCTCTGTGAACTATTGCCTGTACCACAAAGAAGTGCAGGTATTCTATGGCGAGAGCTGTTTGCAAGGCGATATCGAGCCTCACCGGCCATGTTAAGCACCCTTTTCTGTAAATGCTTTTAGGTCCATGGAGATGGTCTGCTAGAGTACCGTTTGGGACATACTCGTAGACAAGGAGGAGCCCTCTTGGGTCGCTGCAATACCCATGAAGCTTCACGAGATTTGGGTGATCAATGGAGGACAATATCAAGATCTCATTACAGAAAGATTTGGTGGAAAACGCCATGCCTGCTGCTGCTGCGTGGTGATGATGCCTGTGCAGGTACTTAACAGCCACGGTACGACCATCGTTCAGATGACCTAGATACACGGACCCGAACCCGCCGTCTCCGATCTTCCGTTTGGGATCGAACTTGTAGGTTGCTGTCTCCAGCTCTTCGTAAGTGAAGACTGGAGGGAGGAGACTAGCAGAGCGGATACGATGTAGGAACCGAGTGGCTGGGTCTTCTTCACTGGCCGATGATTTTAGCCTTTTAGACCGGAAAATAGCAAGCGCAATGGAACCAGCAAGCAGTAAACATGTCACCGCGGAAATAGAACACAAAATTGCCAAGCGATTGGAACTTCGTGTGCTAATCCAGTTTGGTGAAATGCTAGATTGAGATAGGAAGCAGATGAAATGCTTGCTGGGGTCAGATGAATTGAAGCCGCAGACTCCGTTTTTAGCTTGACAAGTCTTGCAGCTGGAGAAGTAAGGGTCTTGAAACTCCTCCCATTCAACTTCAATCCCCCATTTGGAGAAGAAATTTTCCAGAAAACCCAATATATCATCTTGGCAACCTTGTTCGGACAGAGGGCGTCGCATAGATCCACAGCCGTGAAGGAGCTGAGCTGGGTTCTTGATGAGCTTGCAATCCCAGGGACAGTGGCTGCAATTAGGCAGATTAGGAGGCGAACAGGAACGAAGAACGGAGAAACGAGAGCAAGAAGCATCGGAGACTCGAAATGGAGTTCCAGAGAAGTTGATAGAGTGATTGGAAAGGGAAAGAAAGTGAAGAGAGGAGCAGTCGGTCACTCCGGTTGCAGCTAGGGGGGAAAGAGTGAGAGAGGAAGAGTAGGGCTGATATTTAATAATAGCAAAAGAGAGATAGTTAATGGTGATAATGGAGTGAGGAAACCCGCATTTGATCTGAAAAGAAGGGTGACCACAGCCAGGAGAGAGGGAGAAAGGGAAAGAAGGAGAAGAAGTGAAGGGTGGACAAGGGGATTTGGAAATATCTGTCGTGAGAGAAGAACATCTGTTAGCGGCTGGAGTGAGTAGGAAAAGCGAGGAGAGTAGGAAGAGAGTGAGAATAGAGGAGTAAGGTGGTGGTTCAGGCATGGATGAGAACGATAAGCAGAGAACCCAAATGAAATTCTCATCAAACGGAGGAAAATACAAATAGATGAGAGAAGAAATCCAAATCTCAATCAGGTTCTTGGAGTTGCAGAAAGTGAGAGGGAAGGGGGCCACGTACTCACGTGAAATTTCTGGGAGGTGAAGACAAAAGACTCAAAAAAAGAGTGAGCCGCTGGGCGCTGTAAAAAGACTGGGCAGTCAGCCTGATATTTTGCTTTTCATTGTTTTCTCAATAAAAGTAAAGAAATAAGTAATTGGCGTTTCGTCTACCTCGGGGACTGCAAAACGGTGAGTTTGTACAGGTCAGGGGAGACTTCTCGCTTAAAAAAATATGGCGCCACAAATATCCAAAAAATAATAAATAAATAAATAAAATTAATTTGCTCGTGTTGGTACTTAATTTAAATAAAATATTAAAAAGAAAACTATGCCTAAATTAAATAATCTGGTTTTCTATTAATAATATGCTATTTTAGTTATTAAAATTTTATATTTTATTTAAAAATTATAAATTTGTATAAATTATTATTTTGTATATATATATATTATAATTTAATCATAATTAAATAATAATATTTGGTTAAATTAAATTATTAATTTAATTTATTAATATATTACTAAAACTGTGATAATTAAATTCGTAAAATATTTCATAATAATTAAAATTTTTTAATTTTAATAATCACAACAAGTATACAGTTAAAAAAATAGTAAAAATAATATTAAATATATTTTATTTTAAAATTATAACTTATAATTTTTATTAATGATGTAAAATATATTTATTTATAAGTGTATTATAGTCTCACTATAAATTATTTACAATATTTAATTCAACAAAGCAGTATTTAATTTATTAATTCATTGATAAAATTAAGATAAGTAAATTAAATTTTGTTTCGGCAAACTGTACAGACTCCGGCTAAAAAATATATTTCATTATGTTTGGATTCTTTTTATTTGAGTAATCATAATATCTTAATAATACACATGGTTTTTTAATAGTAAAATACTATATATGTATTTTGACTTTATAATAGTAACATATTAAATATAATATCATAAATTTGACTCTCTTCATATTTAACATCTCTAATTTTTTTTTTTTTTTGTTTAAAGTATATCCTTGATATCCTTATGATTTATTTAGT